CCTTTATGGTTAGTGCTTTTGGTGTTCTGTATAAGGAATTTTTGCCTTCACTGGGGAAAGTACTTTGTGAGTTCTTCTGCAAGGTACTGCATCTTTCATATTTAGCTCTAGAGTCCTTATGGAGCCAGCTCTGCTCACACTGTGATCTAGGGCTTTCAGCCTCCAGAGCTATGAGACAATACATTTCGTTTGTTTAAGCCACTCTAGTTACTGTACTTTCTTCAGTCAGCCCTGGCCAACTAATACAATATACTGGTAAATATTTTCTGATAGTTTGGAAACTTATCTCTATCTAAACAGACTATTTTATAAAAATGCCATTGTACTACTCATGTCACCTTGCCACTCATTTTTCCATTTTATGATATACAATGGGCACTGTGAAAATTAATAAAAAGAAACCACACCAAAATGGACTCAGGAGGCCAGAAGGGGGAGCTCTCACACAACCTGTCATGTCAGTTACAGAAAGAATTGTCAAAGACCCCAATAGAATTGTTCACAGGAAAGAAGCATTAGTTATAGACCCCACAGGAAAAGATGGATGTCGTGTCTCCTGCAAGATATCAGATGTCCCATCAACTCAGCCAGTGAAAAACTGTCATCTCCCTGAACTATCCGTTGTCTCCAATGGACTTTGATTCAACCTCTCCCACTTTCTCCTTTTTCCCCATAAAATAACGTTCCTCTCTTTTGTTTATTGGACTTTGCTTATAGCTTTTGCTATAGCTTGCTTGTTCTGAATTGCAATTCTAGCTGTTCTCAAGTAAACCCATTATGCTGGTAAAACAACTGACCTCTAGTTTTAAGGTCAACAGCACTTCTTCATGCCTGGAGATCTGACAAAACTCTGTGAGCCCCATCCTTTATTCCCCCAGGGCCCTGTGGTGAAGACTTAAGTGGCTTCCAAGCTGTCACTGCTGAAAATGCAGCAGTGATAGGGTGACATTTTCACCTGTTCCCCACCTGACATCCCATGTGGCCTCTGAGCATTCCTCCAGAGACTAGCTGGGGCCTTCCCAGGCCTCAGATCCTACTCTCCCCTGCCAGCTGGGTCTTGGCTGGTTCCTTCACAGGATGTGAGCTCTAATGTATATCTGCCATGGACATTTTGAGAGACATAAAGTTTGTAAAATGTTTTATCCTGTTTAAAAAAAAATCAACTGAATAAATTGAAGATCTAATTGGTTTTATTAAATTATTTATAAACCAGGCAGCATCTCGTCTAGCAAGCAGAGAGATACTCTGAGGAGTTATACAAAATGGAAGGCTTTTATAGAAAGGAGCATGGGGCAAGGACCTCATAAACAAAGAAAATTGAAAGTTCATTGAAGGAAAGAGTTCAGGGTGATGATAGTTTCTCATTGGCTGAGCTGTGGTGTTTTCCATTGGCTGGGCTTGTTGCTGGGCAAGAAGAAAATCTTCCTTCCTCCTGCAGAGGAGGTAAAGTAGATAGCACACCTTCCTGTTGGAGATGCAAGGCCCACTTTTTTCATGTTCGGAGTGATAAGGAGTGGCAGGGTGACAACCCACTCTACAAGCCCTCCAGAGTCCAATTTTAGTTGAGGTTTCCTTTATTAATTTTCACAATCCAGATCATGCCTATTTGTCATGAAGTTTAAATATTTTACTTGTCTTTCCTTCCGCCATTGTGAAATGGGTTTTTTGATAAACTTCTAATTGGCTATTGTTGGTATGGAAAATATACCTTTTTCTTTTTCTTTTTAGTCGGTCACTCTGTTTATCTCTTATTCACTTTTACATTTTTCAGGTGCCTCTTGGATATTCTAGGGAGTTGTTTACATTGTCTCATTATGCTATGGTCATGTCTCATCCTTTCTAATAATCATCTTCCATTTCTGGTGAATGCCTTATTGAGTTAGCCAGAACTTCCAGAATATTAGGTAATAACAGTGAGGATGGATATCTTTGAATCTTCCTTCAGCCTACCGTACATGCTCTCTCCATCCTTTCTTCATCATAATATGTGTCCTCATTCCCAAGGGCCGTTCTCCTACCTCAGATGTGGGTAGTGTCTGCTTTCCCCTGCAGTACGTGTTGGGGACTGGCACAAGCAGACCATGTTTTCCTGTAAAAAATGTATGTTCAGAATTTCATTGAATGGACCTGAATGTGCTGTACGTTTAGCACATGGAGGGCCAACTCTATTGCCACGTGGAAGTGACCTAAAACTAATATAATATCTCTAATAGTCATCATTTATTTCAAAGTGACTTTTTCTTCTTGGACTTTAGGAAGGCTTTCTAAGCATGATTTGCATTGCCCGTTTTTAAATGACCTGTCCAGGGAAGCCTTAAGCTTCTCCATATTTATTTTGCTAGTGAGTAGCAGCAGTAAAATCATTTATTTTGCACAAGACCGGTCCTCCAAATTAAGGATCAATTGTGTTTAAAAGAGACCTTTGTATTGTGTTGCTATGAAAATAACATATAAACAAAATAAGTGACAGATTTTAAAAAGAGAGGAAAAGTTACTCATAATCCTACCACCTGGACACAAAAATTATTCATTTTTGTTTATTTACTTCTAGTTTCTGCCCATATATTTGTCTTTTCCAGAGTTGCAGTCATGGTATTTAAACAATTTGAATGTTACTTATTTCACTTATTAAGTATGTTTGTGGTTTTATATAATCTGTGTAATGATCAAGCTTAATGGCTGTATAATGTTTCTGTAAGTAAATGAGCAGTAATTCAGTTAACCATTCCCCTAATGCTGAGCCTGAGGTTGCTTCCAAGTTCTATAACACAATGGAAATTTTTGTGCCAGAGCTTTTTCTGTTCTTGGCTTACTTCCTCAGGCCAATCCCTAGAGTGAAATTACTGGGTCAAAAGATTCGAAGGCTTTTAGGACTTTTACTGCCCAGCTAAGGGATTGTGCCAAGTCACCCGATGCCAGCAGAGCAAGCAGCGGTCCAGGTGCACTCTAAATGATGACTCCTTTCCACAGATGTCATAGCATCGCTGTCACTGAAGTGCTGGTGCGGGGTTTTAGTCATGAGTTGGGAAAGGAGTCACCAGAATGTTGGTTTTTTCCCCAGTGTACAGGGAGAGAGAGCTGTGGCTGCAAGGGGGAGGACTCTATCTGGAGGTGGCACTGCCTTGACATGCCAGGTGACTGCTTTGGGTGACGCCAGTGTGGTCTCAAGGGTTGCAGCCCAAGATGCAGATCACAGACACCACCCTGGACGTTACAAATGCTCAGAACATGGTACGGTTGCTCCAGATCGTTCCTGCCTTGTTCACTCTGGTGTTCGCATAACTAATGGATATACATTTCAACTGTGTGGGGGTTTTTTGTTTTGTTTTGGGTGGTTTTTTTTAGGGAAAACAGTGTATTGTGGCATTTTGCCCACAGCACTCACTGAAGTGGACATCTGATACCTAGTGTAACAGAAAGTATAGGTACTACACAAAATATGAAACATGGGCAGCCGTGCATTGCTGCCACAGTGGGTTCAGCATCCAGAGTGTGCCACGAGGAGCCCTGGGTAGAAGGCACCTGTCTGGACCCTCAGCAAGACCTCCTGAATGCCCAGACCCTAGGCCGCCCCTGTGCTGCCAGCAACCTCCTGGGAATGCTTCCTGGATATGAAGCATTAGCTTGCTAGGGCTGCTTCTGTCCTGTGCGATGTTCTCCCAGGGCTTTGCTGGCTCCGGGGCCCCAGCCTGGAAGGGGAAAGAATCACAGACGTGCAGCTGCAGGAAAAGGCAGTGGGATCTGAGGAACGGATTGTACGACCTCTGCAAACTTAGAGAAACTGAGGAGTTAGCTGGGTGAAGAAGGGGGAAACTGTTCCAAACAGAAGGAATACCATGAGCCGAGCTCTTCGCTGGTCTTCCTGGCTCTGGTCTCCTCTCTGCCTGGCTCCCCGCCCACCAGCTCACTCAGAGCCAGAAGACTTTTTTAGAAAGAAAAGCACACGGTCACCCCACTGTTTCAAACCTTTCAACGGGGCTTCTGGAAACACAATTCCAACTCCTTGGCTCTTTCCTCCCGGTCTAGGTGGTGAACCTCATCTTTCAGACGGCGCATTCCTCCAGGAGCCTTGCTGGAGCGCTGCTCCCCCACCCCCGCCCCTTATCACCAATCACACAAATGGACGTGAGAAGAGTTTGTACAATTTGAAAGACTTTTAAAGCACTTTACAAAAGTGTAAAAGATGAAAGAAGGAATATAACCCATTAAGACAAGAACAGGAAAGGGCCCAGCCACTCCTCTGCAGCCTCCGCCACGGCACACCGAGGGTGGGTGGCTGTGTGCAGTCTGAGAACCCGCCCCCAGCCGCCACCCGCCAATCAGCGAGGAGTAAGAGTTCAGCCCCGCCCCTGGCCGCACCCTCTGCCAATGAGCGAGGCCCCGCCGCCTTCAGCTCACGCAATTGTTCGCCTTTCGTGCGCCAAATAAAGTTCTTCAGGACTTTGAATTTTTTTTTTAAAGCGCCCGCCGCAGTCCCAGCAGCCGCGGAGGAGAGGGGCCGAGTCTCCGCCCCCC